CTCGAGTGGACATGCAGACAAAGGTTTCCGCTCGAGCGTAGACTTACCCGCTTGAGCGTTCTGCAAAACAGTCAAAAGTGCTGGATAGGTGAAAATCACGCTCGATTGGGCGCTCGACACCCGCTCAAGCATGAGACACAATGTCCCGCTCGAACGTCAATTATTCTGCTCGAGCGGACATCAAAACAGTGCAAAGTACTGGGAGCACGAATTTTACGCTCGAGCGCCAGTCACCCAGTTTGAGCGTGAGTTCAAAATCTGGAATTTTCAGATTTGAACTTCTAAGCTCAAACCAAGTTCAAATGCATTAAAACCAATTCCTTTGGGCCCTTTTCCCTAGGAAACATTTGAAAACACATAGAATAACATGATTCAAAGCTCAATTGTAAAATCAAAGCCCCGAAGGAAGATCAATTCAACTCAATTTGAAACCAATTTCCATGAACATAACTTCAAAGCAACATGCATGAATTTAAACCACTTTCAAGCTTTAAACACTTGTTCTAACGAGTCAATATCTTCAAAGACAAGATGAAATCATGGTTTATGATCAAAAGATGAACATGCATGTGGGGAATGATGAACTTACAACCTCAAAACTCTTCAATACAAACATGCATGCATGGAATGAGCAATAATCCAACATGTTAGAACTAAATCATGACTTGGCTCCTCAATTAGACATGAACCATGCAAGAATCAACTTAAATACAACAATGAGAGGTTGAATTTCCTTACCTAAGTCTTCAATCACAAGACTAGAAGCTTAATTAGACAATTGTCCTTCAATTCTTCAAGTTCTCTAAACCAACTCTCAAGAACACTCACTTCTCTCCCTCTCTCCCTCTTGGTCGGCAATAACAAGGGAAATGGCTGATGAAATGTTTTGTTTACATGTATAACAAGGCTCAAGTATGTTGGCTAAGTGGCCCACTCAATGGTGGCAAAATAGTAATTAAGTCAACTCATTTTAGATAAATACACCATAAAATCATACTAATTCCAATGAACACAAATCACCAATTAATTTCAGATTCGGCCGTCGATAAGGCCTTCAATTCGCAATTTAAACACAAAGGCATGAACAGATAATCAAACAGTCAACAGATAGACATACAATTAAACAGATATACTTAATCAATTCAGTTCCCGATTTCAGTCAATCAGTTCAGTACTTCAATCAATTCAGTTGCCAATCATAATCAGTCTCAGTTTAGCAGTAATCAATGGTTAATCGGTAAACAGTGATGAGGGTTGTTACACGGTCCAAACTCGAAGTCTGAAGCTTGGTCATGCACCTGATCACCTACACACATAAAATAAATAATGAGTTAGAGCCCAGTGAATAACAATAGAGTAAAGGTTTTATGAATAATGTCCATAACAAATTCAGAAATCAGAATTCAGTTTAGAAACAGATTTATATACATATTCAGACTTGTAAACAGCTATACGTGGTACATCCATTAGCGCTAACAGATCGGATTGGTCATAAAGGCCCATATACAGAGCATATGGTCATTAAAACCCATATTCACATGAGATGGTCATAACAACCCATTTGCAAATCGTATAGTTGATTATGTATTAATCAGTTCCATGAATAAAACCCACTTGAAACCCTGGTACCAGGTCACATATCACATAATGCTAAGGATGCCATGATACATTTTGGAAATAAAACAATCATTCATCTATATAGAAAATATCATTTCAGAAAATAGATCTTATCATATCATTTCATTCAAAAATCACTTATAGTCCAATATAGCTTTACAATTTGTTACTCACAGATAGCTTCAAAAGTAGAATAGATAATGTAGACAGATTGGTCACGCGTGACCTACACACAAACACGTGACAAATACATATTGAAAAACACACTCCGAATACACTTAATTTATTACATTTCTTTCTTAGTGTGTTTCTAATTCATATCCTCATTAATGTGGCCTAAACCATGGCTTAAGAATGCCTATGATGGAATGAGGATGCAATTACGCACTTTGAAACACTTGCAAAATTTTCAAAAAACATGACAGTTTGCGCGAGCAAAGCTTTAGTCACTCGAGCCGTCTGCAAAGTCTGCAAAAGTGCTAGATGCTCTCATTTTACGCTTGAGCCAACTTTGGTCGCTTGAGCCAAGATCCAAAAAAGGATAGTCACTCAAGCAGTCTTTTGGTTGCTCGAGCCAACCATCAAACTCTGCAAAAGTACCGAGAGCTCGCAAAGTATGCTCGAGCAAAGGTTTTACCGTTTGAGCGAATAGTGTGAATTTTGGATTTTCCAAATTGCTGATCCAAGTTCGAAACTCAATTTAAACACATCAAAGCTCATCCTTTTAGGCCAAAATGAGAGAAAACTTGTAGAAACTCATAACATATCATGAATTAAAAATCATTTCGCAAGGTCAAGGTCCAAAAGCATGTCAATAGTTCAAAATCACACTTGAAACTCCATATGTATTATATGCAAACATTGACAAGAATTCGTTTCTTCCAAGACATGAATAATTGAGATATAATGGTATGAAATGAGATGAATTCACAAACCAAAGCTAAAATATGTATGCATGTGAGAATTCTTTGAAAATAACTTCAAAATGTGATGAAATGGGCATGCATGCATGGAGTGATCTCATTTCTACATACTAAGCTCAATTTTCAAATTGAATCACTAATTTTCTCTTGAATTCACAAAATCAATGACTTAAATACAAGAATTAGGAGTTAATTACTTACCTAGAGTCTTGAATTCTAAGTTGTTCTTCCCAAATTTCCAAATATCTAGCTAGATTTCAAGCCAATTCTTCAATCTTCTACAAAAGTATTACTCTCTCTCCAATTCTCTCTCTCCCTCACACTTTTGATCTCAAGAATGAAGTCTAGAATGTTGTTTGATGAGTAATACGTGGCCTTATATAGGCTCAATTAGCTTAGACTAATTAATTGTGATTAAAGCTAAGTTAATTCAATTGAATAATTAATTTATTCTAATTATTTGACTCCGAATCGAAATCTAATTAAATTTACCATAAAATTCTTAAAAATTCAAATTAACACATTGATGTAGTCAATTTCATGTTCGGATGCCGATAAGGTTTTCAATTAATAGAATAAAGAAAAATTCTGAACAGATATTCTTGGGGCTAACAAACACATACAAAATTCACAATTTACACATAATCTCATTCTTAAAACTTAATGAGCATCTTAATTATGGATTACGGGCTAATTACGGATAGGGGTTGTTACACCTATTGCTCTCTCTTTCTCACTTCTTTAGGAGCAACGGCAACCCTTTTAATTGTAATATAACTTTACTAACAAACCAACATTCTAATCCTACAACCTTAGTCAAAAAAAATGTTAGTGTGTAAAGAACAGTTCAAAATATTTTACTTTCTAAACCCCTTGAGTAACAATCACTTCCTCCATGAAAGGCATACTAATATTTTCCCTTTTTTCTAAACAATCTTGCACTTATGTATATATCTCACAAAGTGTGAGAGAATGCATCAATATATACAACACATTGAAGAAGTAAACAAGTTGATCCCCAGTATTGTGCATCTCACGAAAATCAAGAACCTAAAATCCAATTCAAAAAATTCATAAACCAAAATGACGAAGAAGAAGAAGAAGAAAAAGAAAAAAGAGAAGAAGAAGAAGAAGGGTTCTGTGAGGAAAAAGCTTTTATGCCGATCGTTGCAGTGAACATAGGTTAGGATTTGGGGCTTGGTTGAGTTTTGATGAAAGTAGTAGTGGGTGTAGAAACCTAGTGTGATTAAGAAGAGTTTGGTTGAAGGAGAGGGTGGGGCTTTCAACCTTTTTCTTCCCTCTATTTCTTGTCTGGCGGTTTCTATCATTCTGCTTGTCTCAATAAACGGCTTGCTACCAGGAAAGTTTTCAAATCTAGTCTCAAATCTAATTCATGACAAAGATTCGATATTGTTAAACGCGTTATTATACACTAGGCAATCACCTCAAATCCAGAATGTTTTATTTTGTAACATAGAGATGAAAATTAAGGTACCAAAACTATCAATTGCAATGATGAATGGATCGTGAAGGTGATTGGTATTGTTTATTTGGTGGTGATAGTTTTTCTTTATTTTATTTTTTTTGTTTTTTTTGTGTTGCAATAATATCTCTCTATGTAGAAATTTTCTCTTTTTATGGAGGTTTTTTTTTTTTTCTCTCTATGTAGAGACTCGTATCCTTTATACGTGGAGATTCTATCTATCCCTTTTGAGATCTATTTTGAATTCTGATGTGTTTTATTGAATGATTTATTGTTAGATGTACAATATATTAAGCATTGTGTTTTCCCATCGATAAAAATAAATAAATAAATAATTTTAATAATGTCAAAGGGTAAATTACAAATACATCCCCTGAGATTTGATTAAAATACAAATCGCCCCTGTGATTCTGAAAATTACATTCCACCTCCTGAAATTTTTAATTTCATAACGAATCGTCTCTTTTATTAATAAGTCATCAAGTCAATTAAAATTTTTTAATGATGTTAAAAATATGTTTCAATTAATAATTTAGATAATTTTATTATTGTATAGGAGATCAATTATGAATTTTATTTTTTTAGTTAATTCTGTTAAATAAAAAATTCGAACAAGGAGATATTTGTAATTTTCCAAATCATATGGAACAATCTGTACTTCCAGCAAACCTCAGGGAGTGTATTTGTAATTTACCCAAAATTGAAATAAGAGGACATTTGTAATTTCTATAACTATGAGATAATCCGTATTTTACGTAAATTTTAGGAGGTATATTTTTAATTTACCCTAATTTTTACCTAAGCTTTTTCATGAACTAATTGATACAAAACCTAGAATAATTTTCTTGTTTTTCCAGACTGTTACGCAGAAAGATTGAAGAAACCAAAGGGTTGGTTCTCGAGTTCCTGTGATGCTTGCTATATTTTCTCCAAATTTTAAGGGAGATCAGTGTAATTTACTCAAAATTTAAATCTTACCTTTTCAAGCATTTCTTTCCAAGTTATCCATACAAACAAGGCATTCTTTATCTGAAAATTTTCAGGCAAGAACATGTTTTAAACATTAACTAGCTCATGAGTGAGAGTTATATACAACATCGTGAAGTATTATTGCATTCAAGCCCATAAGCGAGTTACAAAAGAGAAACCGAAAAAGAACCACATTGTCAGTTTTCACTAGCACACCCGAATGATCCAAAAGTTGCCTAACCAATACATATTGCTATAATCTCTCTAGCTTGATCCTTGTAAGTCTTCAGCACTGTCTCTTTAGCCAAGTTTCAAGTTCATATGCTAAAAAACTCCCAAGGAGCAGAGAATCCTGAAGGCCACAACAGAGATGCCACAGAGTCAATGATCAACATAATATAATGGAGAGTGATCTAGACCTCAAACAGTAAGTTAATAAAGTAACATACTAAAGAAAGAATTAACTTATTTGTGACATGAAAGTGATGAAAATTAAGTTTAACGGGCATATTAAATGCAGGTATTTTCTTTTTACACTCAAAAGAGTGCAGCTGTTTTTCATTGGACACAACAATTCTACACTAGTAAACAACTAGGCTAAATTACATGACTTAAACTAGATTTTAAATTTGCACGTAAATTACACATTAACCTAATGTTTAACATGTCAACTCAGCTCTAATGCCTCACAAATCTAGCAAAAAGAACTGACATGATTACATGCGAGCTGGATTATATTTTGATTATGGTTGGCGAGGAAGATAAAATGGTCACAATAGCAAAGCCACACAAGTAAATGAACTTAAATAACGGCAATTTCATTTCCTTTTTTGACAGCCAATGTTGTTAGAAGCCTGGTGTAACTGCAAACTGAAGTGAGATTATTTTACTGTGTTAAGACACTAAAACTTGTTAAAATCTTCAAATATACAGCTCCACCGTATTAGTCTGCCACCCATGAAATGGACAGGAATTGAAGATACCAGGGATCTTGAAAAAGCATTTTGATCAATTTGCACATCGTAGAATGCAGAGAAGTTGGTTTCAAGAAATCAAATTTGGATTGTAGAGTTTGAACTTGGATTTTGGAGGTCAAAGGCAGAGGCCACCAATGACATAAGAGGATACAACAGTTACAGCAGCACGATTGGGAGGTCAAAAAAGCAGAGCAGAAGAGAAGACAACAATGCGTTTGTACCCAACAACAAACACCTGTTCATGCTGACAAGTGCCATATCCAACCCCAACCCAAAAAGGGAGAGAGAGAGAGAGAGGGGGGGGGGGGGGGGGAGAGAGATTTTTTTTACAAGCTGCACCAAAAAGTCAGTGGTTTTCTTGAAAGGGGGGGGGGGGGGGGGAGAGAGAGAGATCTTTTTGACAAGCTGCACCAAAAAGTCAGTGGTTTTCTTGAAAACATTAGTGACAAACACAGCAGAATTGAAGTAACATGGAAGGCCTAAAAATTTAAGTCTTGCACATGAGAATTATCAATGTCAGCAGTAAAGCAAAAACTTAAACGTCACATGCCAGCGACAGGACACAGAACTGTTTCTCTTTGATTGGCCAAGGATATGACAGATTCAATGCACTGTAGATCCAATTATAACAAAGATGATTTCTATATGAGCACGTTGTTATCACAGATACTTTCCAAAAAAAAAAAAATTGTTGTTATCACAGATATCACTCTTATTAAGTTGATAGAAGTACTAAGCAAAATGCAGGATTCTACCCAAGTTTCCAAGGCAAACATAGTTAGCAGTGTCGGTCCATTGTACGATGCACTTCCTGTCAGCATTCCAATTCTTGGAGGGTTAAACCAGGACCCAAAGTATGCCATCCAGCTGATGTAGATTCACAGAAAAGTAAATTGGTTGAAATTAATTATCTGGCTTTTACTAATTTTTACAGCCCACAAACTCAGCATATATCCCACAATCAATACCATTGACTGTAAAGAAATGCTTACCAGGGGCATGATGAATTAGTATTCCACATTTGATTGAGGAATTTTAATTATCCCCTTCAACAGATTGGAAGGCATATCAATGCTCTTAGCCTTAGATGTGCTTTCTACTGACTCTAGAGCTCGAGAAGCTTGAAGGGCCATCTCAGCATGGAGTTGGAGACATGTTACAGCCAGCTGAAATTAAATCGTCCAATTGGTCATGTCAGAATCGATAATTAAAACTTCTTATCAATTTAAATCAATGATATAAATGAAAACAATAAGTTCAGAAACATTGTGCTAGAGCTGCAATGCCGGTAGAAAAGAAAAAGGCCAAAATCCTGTTTCATCCCCTTTAGTTGCCAACAATGGAAGTTTTAACTAGAGTTATTTCTGCTCAAACCCAGAATAAAATTTCCATCCCTCACCTAAGTTGCAACGACATCAATTAATGCACTTCAAGTTCTTTGGTTATGCTTTAGTTGGCAGAGGAATTTACAAACATCTTCACAAGTTCAACCATATGAAATGTGCACCGTAATGTACAAGCAGAAAATGAAGTGGAAGATCGGAAAAAAGAAGCATGATCTGATCTTCCATTCAAGTGGACAATCTATCCTTACCGTGTAGCACTCTCTATCTGTGTCTGACTCAGCTACACAAAGTGCCCATGTGCGAACCCACTCGAGCCCTTTAGAAATTTCAGGACTCCCTTCTATTAACGAAGATGCTACATAAGAGGGATGAAGGGCAACCAATATGCAAGAAGCTGCAAAAAGGACAGATCTTCTGACATATGCTTCCGCATGTTGACATATCTCCCTGCATGACAGCAAGAGCACAAGGTTCAGTAGCAGATGAATTAATAATGTCTGCCAATGGGTGAAAATAGATGTTTAGTACCTAGAGCTTAACATATCAATAAGGGCAGGAGCTATGGCAGATGCTTCTGGATGCATGGCTGTGCATTTCATACAAACACCAAGCATATAGATGAGTTTCCCCAGGACAATAAAATCCCGACCAAGCAAGTCAATGCCATGCCTTTTCTTATCAAATCCCTGCATAGCTGGAAGCATAAATGCTGCAGCATATTGAGGAAACTTATTCTGGGACCATTCCATCTGATGTCCTTGTATATTTTCTGATCGGAAGCTCCATCGGCGTGTCTTCCCTCGCTTGATTTGACCTGGTCTAGGTGGAACTTCTCTCTCATAGGAGTATGACCAATTCAATGGAGCTTCTGTGCCTGAGATCTCTTTCCAGGGACCAGCTCCAGGAGGCCCTATGCTACTGGGCATAAACCATGGTTGAGTCTCTGAAATGGTTGATATGAGATTCCTTGGCTGATGTTTTGGTTTCATAATTTTAGTATCAGCAAGTTCCAGTGCTGCATCTGTCATGACATCAAGCATCATGATTCGTTGGCCAATATCTACATGAGGTGAATATAATAGTTTGTTGAGGGTATCAAGAGATTCGAAAGGAGACATGACAATCAATGCGACCAGCGCTTTTTGCCTCTTTTCTTCAGCTGATTCTTCTTCCCCTTCTATAGTTGAATCAGAGCAACGAACCTGTACAAGAGTTCTTACGAGATCACCTGCTAAATACCTTAATTCATCAGGCGACGCACGGACAAGCTTTTCAGCAACATAAAGAGCCCTTTCAACCTAATAAAATAAATAAAGATATAACTAATTAACTGGACGAATCATTTCCAGCCGAAATTTTAAGAGCTTTACAAGAAACTTAATTCATCTAATAAATTTGACAAGAACAGCTTGCTGATGACAGGTAGACTAAATAGGAGGAGGACCTCAATGTTGGTGAACTTGGCAGCCAAACCAACAATAGGAAGTGGAACCTTCAATTTCACTGACTCTTTCTAAAAATTCTATGAAATGGATTAAGATTATATATCATCTTATGTAAATTCCACCAAGGTAGATCTCTCAGAGGATCTCAATATATTGCAATCTAGGGAAAAATAGATTTTTTATTTTTTATTTTTTAAATATTAAAAGAGAAAGATAATCAATAAACTTGAACAACTTACACCATCTGCATCATCAGATTTTCTAAGTGCTCCAACAACATCAACCAAATGTGATAATTTCCTTTTCAAATCTGTGTCATCATCTGACAAGTCATACGGCTGTAAAGATGAGTCACTTGAAGTATCAGAATTCTCACTTGCACCATCATCATCTTCTTCTTCTTCTTCACCAGAAACTAATTCCTTGTTTAATGTAGCTGGATCAATAATCTCATCAGGATCAACCAACTTAAATTCAGATAATTTACTCTTCCCAGCCTTGTCATTATTGCGCACCCGGCTGTTGGCCGTGTTGTTAAATTCCTTTTCAGATAACAAGGCACTACATGTTTTTACCTTGTTAATATCCTTATCTATGCATTGTGAGGTAGTCAGCATCCCTTTCACAGGGGTTGCTAACCCAAACTCCCAGTCAATGATCTCTCCACTGCAGCTATCATCAAGATACAAAGGATTTTCAGGATCAATTATTTTAGAAAATACTAAAGCAATACTGCTAGCCATTCTTCGAACCAAATGGGCAGGGTTCTCCAACCTACCTGTAGCAATTAGAAAAAGATGTAAGAGAAACATAATCTGACACACAGCAAATACATTAAAGGCGGGTGAATAAGATTTTACAGCTAACTCCTTGAAGAACTGAGCGCATCACATCCTTGGTTGCATCTAAATCTTCTTTTGACATCTTCTCTAGGGAAAGGCCTAGAGCTGCCGTTACATCTGAAACTAGAATTAAGGGGCTTATGGAACCAAATAATCGCAAAATGCAACAGATGAACAAAGCCTTCTCTAAAATATTTGGAATGTTTGTAACTGAAAAATTGAAAAGAATTGTGTTTTCTTCTTTTCATTTGGGAGGAGGTTGTCTGTAGTTGTTGAAACATACTTGTAAATATGACGGGTTTTTTGTCTTGCCTCCTTATCTATGTTACATGGACTCTTTCAAATGAATGAAGTACCCAAGCCTGATACTCGACACTTGGGTAAGGGTATGTCCCACCATGTATAGTGGATATTCATTTAGCAAGAAAATTTAGTAGTTCAAGTTTAACATATAACTATGCATAAAACTTCATATTATGCAGTAAATGCAATACGATACCTTGTAAACATTCTTTTACCTCGAAAAGGAAGAAGTAAACTAAGAAATAAGAATATTTTGTCGTGTCCCGGTGTCTTGGTCATGAGAACTAGATAAATCCAACATTCACCCGATACCCATACCCGAGTCCATGTAACATAGCTCCTAATCATAGGGATTCTCTCTTATAACTCTTGAGGATACAAGCTTGCTGCTCCACTGGGGTTGATTGCACAAACTCTCTTTCGGACCATACCACTGCAAGATGCTGTGCTGTGTCTAAGAGATGACGAGAATTATGTGCTTTTGTGGGCAAAGCAGCATCAGGAGGTAATTCAAGAACAGCAAATTGAAGGATCCACCTCAGGCAACAGACAGGAAATACTTTCCAGAGTAGAAATTTTTCAACAAACATGGACCTAAAAAGAAAATTGTTGAAAATCAATACCAAGCATGTTGTATTTATTAAGAACTGGGAAGAACAATGGCTCTATTCTTTCTAAGTAATTAGAAAAAAATAAAAATGATAAATCTAACTTGAAATTCTATTACAATAGGCTTAGTTAGGTTCCTGAGTGTTATATGCTTTCTCTGCATATGCACATGAATGATGACTGGGTCCAAGAAAGCTGGAGGGTCCCACGCACATGTACAGATTGATAAACTAAATATTGACACCCATTATTACTTTCATGTGGATTTATGTATTTTAGAGTGATTACATTGATAAAGAGTTAATCTTGCTTTATAGCAATTCATGTTTCATGTGCAAAGATATAGCAAATTATAGTTAACTAAAAAGTGAACAATACACTGCAAAGTGAGAGTAACAGAGAAAAGTGCTGGAAGGTGTTCTCAAACTCCCCATAAAGAAAAATGCTCAGAAACAAGTTCACTCACCTGAAAGGAGTCTGATGTTCATAAATCTGATGGAACAATATCCAAAGAATCCAGTAAGCTTCAACATCAGTTACACGTTCAGCTGCTAACTGATGTAATAGCTGTTCAGACAATCTTTCCACAGCATAGCGGTCTTTAATTGCCTCCATCAACTTCAACCAAAACTGAGAACCAGGGTTTGTCTCAAAGACTTTTCTAACAACCACATCAGCATTTGACAATAGGATGCTACGTACATGTCTAAGAATATGTGGGATCACTTGACTTAACAGCACGTCTGTGAATAGAAAAAGTTGGTACTATATTATGTTTCTTGACGGTATAAGGAAAAGAAACAAAAAACACTCTTCATTTGAAGGAAACACAATTTAGAAAAAACAGAAAAGTTTCGGCAGCTTGATGGCACCAGTCATTGCAACATAAAGGTGCCAACGAGGTAGTTATGGTAACTCCTCATAACATAAGACAGTAGTAGATCACTTGCCACAAGGCTATAAACTGAGAGGGGCATGGGTGTTTGGGTGGGTTTGGGAGAGGTGGGGCATTAGGGGTATTAGGGGTATTTGAATTTTTTTTTTTTTTTTCAAAAAGAGAAATACACATTTGATCGCTAATAGAGTCACCCCAGGACTGCAACATGACATGACTTGTTAAAACTGCTGATAAGACACCAGAGAAACACACACGCACATGCACAGGCAAACACAAACACCAACAATACTTCTTCGAGGAAAACTTTGGAGTTGAAGTGATAAAATTAATTACACGAAGAAACAAAACATAGTGAAAGGGGGTGGGGGCACCTCAATAGAGATATGTCTAACACCAATTGTGGTACTTGTAAAAATCCAGAATACCTGCAGATCCTCGTCGACAAATACGTGCAAATGATTCTCCAACAAATAGGATGGTACCATCCAAGCCCATTTTGTTGAAGATAACATCTTTGCTGCTTAGATTCACATCCCATTCTTCTGCTCCAGCAATAAGTTGAATGGTAATCTGCTTAAAAAAGAAGCTGAAATATTCTGGTGAAGAGTAAACAATACCCAGAAAGAACGATGTGGAAAGAATGTCGTAGAAATGATTATGATGGAGAGTTACGACTTGGGGAGGTCTAGGGTTAACCCCTTCAAAAGTGCAAAGGAGGATGGAAACCTAGGGCAATGGAATCCTCTATCACCCAATGAAAACATCCAGGTAAACTCTTTCCTTTATAGACATGTTAATAGAAAGTAAATAGCATATATGTGCAATGCTAGAAGACAGAAATAGAACTCTGTTCAAGTGTGAAACATAATTTGTGAAAGTGCTTACTCAATAGATCTCTGTTTTAATCACACACACACACACACAAGAACACAAGCATAAAACAAGAAAATCTTCAGCACAAGAAAATAAGTGGATACTGAGATGAAAGAGAACTGGAGGTTGTCAATTGTGCCTTGTCAGGAATAGATGTAATGAGTTGTGCCACCCTAGAGATTTTAGAGTAAAGCTGTTCAGTGCTATTATCTTTAGATTGACAAGAAACACCAAATGCTCGAGCCATCTGGAGTACCCCGTCATTCTCAAGTAAGCAAAGTGCAAGCAGTCTGTCATAAAGATAAAAAAAAAAATATCAACAAACAAAAAATGAAAGACTACACACAAAAACAAAAACTAAACAAAAAAACAGTCGAGCATATTAGAGCTGTTACGTGACTTGATATATATTTTTGGACTCATTTCTTAAGCTTTTGGGACATTTGCTAATTCAACATTCCATTTGCATTTTTTCTCCGTTTACATTATGGTTCTCTCTACGTATGTCTGTTTGCATCTCTACCATCTTCACATGCAAGACAGGGTTGCGCATGAGAGAGGGTCATAAAACTTGATATAAATTGTTAGAGTCATTTCCCTAATAGCTTAAGCTTTTGGGGCAATTGGTCATCTAACAAGAGCATCATCCAATATCTCTATGATTTTGTCTATTTTTATAAGTTATGAAGCATACAGAGCACATCTACACTTCAACACCAAATTTGAACATACTACGTTAAAGCAGTCATATATGATATGATCAAAAGCACATCTAGATGCACAGAAAAGAATGTCACTATCAAACATTATGGTGCTCATAAAAATAGGCTAACACCTAAGAAGCACACTTCTAAGTAGGTAACTGTCATATCTGACACAGTGTCGGACACTGACACGACACAACACAACACTTGTCGGACACTTCCTAACTTGTAATCCAATGAAAAAGCATAAAAGAATGTAATTTATACCTATTTCTCCTTACAAATGACAAATAACAAATATATAAAAATATATATTTTGCACATGTCCCCCACATGTCGTGTCCTACATTTTAAAAAAAATTTCATGTCGGTGTCATGTTGTGTCACGTACCCGTGCTTCTTACGCTAACACTGAGTTCATTTGCAAAATGCGGGTTTGACTGCAATATTGCACACATTTGACTCAAATTACACCTAATTTTGCTAATTTGTGCGTCGATCCACAATATGTCAACCTTGTAGCATGAATTAGGTGATTTAGGTTGGAACACTGCTATTATAATTTATAATTTTACTAAAAGAAAAGTGAGTAAGCTTATTCATCAGTTTTGTACTAGGACAATACATCAAATTTACGTGCCATTTACATAGCAATAAGAGACAAATGACGCGCAGCAAGAACTACACAGCTCAGTAATCAGTCAATCACTCATCACTCATCAGAGACAGCAGACTAGTAGTGGTAAATGTCAAAATGCAAGTTCAGCAATTAATGAAGACAAAAAAAAATTTAATACACTACCTCTCAGCATTTGAGCGCACAGCCTTAATATCAAAACTGCCACTTCCATTTTGTAATAGAGAAGGAACTACAGTGTGAACAACTTCCATTGTATGCCCATTGACAAAGAACACATCATAGACATGTTTCCTTGCAGAAATGGGGAAACAAGCTAGCCAATTGGAAGCAACATCTGCAAATAAAATCAATTAATATTAGAAACCTGTGCATGCATATAAATGTTAGTAAATCAAGAGTTTGTGGACAAAATGGCAGGAAAGAATGAAAGACCCATCTCAAGCATGTGAAAGAACTTGGAAGTTAGCAGAGGCAGTGCTACCCTTCCAATAGGGTATGCAATTGAATACCTTAGATTTTGTTTTAATTTAATAAATTAGTAGTACATTTTAAAACAATTCATTTTTAGCTTTGAATACTCTATCCCACTCCATAAAACACCCAACCAACCAAACTCACTTTGTTGAACACCCACTCTACTCTATTGAACACCCAATTTCCAACCCACAAACTCATAAAACAATAATAGGATTACCATTTTTTATTACCACAATTTGTTTATCACTTTATGTGTCAACATTGTATTAGTTTAATGGGTCTCACCAGTCATACTTGTTATCTATGTAATGTTGACATATGAGATAATAAACAAAACATGATAAAAAAAAATGTGATCATTAATGCTCTTAATATAAATATATATATATATATATATATATTTATAAAAATGCCATCTTCAACTTGGTCGAAGAGTTTCACAAAGAAGAAAATAGGCCAATCCCCAACAAACCACACCGAATCCAAAGAGCTAATAAGCGAGTTGGGGGAAATTGGGATGAGGCTAAAAGTGAAAGAGCCGAGTGCCTACAATGGGAGAATTAGACTCCAAAGCTTGAAAGAGCTTGATGGATAGATTTCTTTTGTTCCGGATCTCCCAAGAGCTCTTTGTCAAGCATTTGCAAATCTATCATTCATCGAGTCCATTCGCTTTCCTATCTTCTGAAAGTACCATTGTATTCTTCCCTTTCCCCTAATCTAGTAAAAAGGTGCTAGCTAGACACCTATCAACCAACCATCCAGTAACTATCAGTACATATATGCAGTCAAGTTTTTTATATATTGAATCTTCTTTGTTTTTGTTTCTTCTGTGCAACATGTATAACTGTCTAGACAATAATCCAATGTAAATGTTTTTTTCCCCCCTTCTATCCATGTTTTTTATTCCTTGTCTCAAATCTTATGCTTATTCATGTTCACAATTTATTTAGGAACCAAAAACTTACTTTATAATCACTACACAAATTAACCATAGAAGAATCTATGAGAAAAAAGTCTCATCTTATAAGGCTAGTGATATAAAGAAACAATATGTTTACGTAAAAGTTCTTATATCTATAGTTTTTAATTTAATTTACTTTTTTTTTTTTTTGAAGCAATGGTTTGAATATATATATATTTGTGATTTGAGAATTCTAAATTAGTAGATTTATAGTTTTTAAATTTTTTAATGTCTACCCTAAAAAAAATTCCTGTAGCCACCACTATAGTTTAGTACTTAAAAATACAAGAAATCAATCACGAACAAATTCCCTAGGTATAGTGTAGCACCCGAGGCATTCTTTGGTGACATAATCATATATTATCCATGTTTATTTACTTTCCATCTTGCATTAGTAGTCTTGATAAGAAATTCTTAGATTCAAGCTTAAAAATACAGGTCACAATTTGAAGACTTTGAATATGTGAACTTCCTTATTTTGTGTTAAGAGTTAGGGAACAGTCTTCTATTGAACTTAGTGTGTTAATATATGTTCTAAAATCCTAATCAAGGTTCTTAATGGCTTTGAACTAATTTATTAGCTGATTTCAATAATTATGTAAAACCTTAATTAGGTTAGTGGTAATTAAGTAGGATTAAGTGGGATTAATTATGTTATTTATTTGCATTTGATTAATTAGGACTAAAACTTGATTAGTTAGGTTAATGAAAGATTAGAAGAAGAAATGAAACATACACACACCTCCCTAGGTGTTAGGACACCTCTAGCTTAAATAGATATACTTGTACCTATGAGAGACAAGTGTCTCACTCAAAATATATATATAACAAAAAAAAAAAAAGGATTTAGAGAGAAAAAGCTGCTGGAGCAAAAGAGAGTAGAGAGGATAGAAAGAAAGACACAAAAGGTGAAAAGCTCAAATCTTGACCTAAACTAGTCTTCAACTTGGGAGTTGTTTGGCATATGCTACTTTAGCACATCTTTTTATTTTTTATTTTATTTGGGTCACATCACCTCTCTACCACATTTCACATCTTTTCGTAAAAAGTCAAAAAGTATTCTCATCCCAAAGGTGAGAATCTTACTCCTACATCACTCCATGATCATTTGTAGAAAATCAATGTATAAAGAGAACAATACAGAGAGAATAAATGTATCTGATGATCTTATTATTGATTGACATATTGATATTGTGTATATTACAATTACAAGGATTCCTATTATATAGGAGTGTGTTTGGGAGTAGGTGGAGAGTAGGTGAAGTGGAGGTGGTAGTGGTGTAGTGGGTTAGGTTTAGTGGAGTAGGTGAGGTGGTAGTGGTGGTAGGTTTATGGTAAATTCTAACATCATTTAATTGGAGGAATTTGTATTGAAAATGGCTTTGAGAAGAAAATAAGTTTAGATGTTGGTTTCATTGAAATACAAGCTTTGGATTTAAAATAGTCTCAAGTTTTGTGTTAAAATGAAATTCATGGAGTTCTTCTCATTTCTTATGGCTTTATAATTGTGAATTTTATATTTTTGGACTTTGGAACAAGATTATAGTTAAATTCCAGGGGTCAATCGATTCTTGAACATTTTGCCTTCTGCCAATCAATTGGGTAATCAATTCTAGACCATTTTGTCACATTTTCTAACAATAGACTTGAAACTTGTTTTAAAGTATATAGAAGTTTCCAAACATGATTTCAAAATCTAATTTTTCTAAAACCAACTTAGATTGAGGACAAAGATTCTTAAATTAAGTCAATCACTTAAATTTTGCATAATTAAGCCTCGTACCAATTAGCATTGTTTCTTTATAATTTGTAGGCCAATAAATCTTGTGAATTAACCTACTTTCAAGCATTTAAGGTGAATAATATTATTTCAAAATTATATTCAAACTATTATTTTGGAATTTAAATTGTATTATGTTTCGGTTTGCATTGAAATGCTTTGATAAGAATGAAATGTCCTATGTTTATGTATCAAATAAACAAAGATGGCATCTATCCAATTAGTCCTAGGTACTATGGGACAGTAAGCATGCTAGTAGTGGTGTTATTGAGATCTCCTTTGCCACCTATGGGTGGGTTCGTCTAATCAGTGCACACGAGCTGGTTATTTCCTTGCCTTGTTCTAATGGATGTTACATACTATGACTTGGAAATGTAATACACTTCAAAAAGATATGATTTGAGCTTGCTTGACCTTTATAAATGAAATGTTATTGCTTTGAAAAACTTGTTCTCATTTTACCACTTTGTTATAATGGGGTGTTTTGGGAAGATGGTAAAAAGTGACTTTTTAACTTTTAACCAAGTTTTTGACTTTTTTACACAAATGATTTGGGAAGTTGGTAAAAAGTTGCTTTCAGATTTTTTGATTAATATTTGTTTATGATGTCAAATCACAATAAAATGACCAAACTACCCTTATTCAATTTAAAATATTTACAACTTTATCCATGTAGCACATCTTGACTCATGAGGGGTAGAATTGTAATTTCACCATTGGCTAAAAACCAACTTTCCAAATGTCTTTAAACTCAAAAAAGTCAACTTTTAGCTTTTGCTATAAACTCAAAAAAGTGGCTAAAAATCAAGTAGCCAAAAGAGGCCAATGCTATTCATCAGGCTACGGCTCACTGATGTAGAGCACTTTAGAGAAAAAAGGGAGGAGAGGAAGAAGAGAACCACAACCCTATTACGAAATGGCCACAACCTGTAACACTCAATAATATTCTCAAAGGTAAATATTACATCAAAAAGACCTAATATTTATAGGCCTGAAACCCTAAATAAAATAGAAAATAGAATCCTATTATTATTTGGAAACTAAATCCTAATAAAATTAAAAACTAAATATTAATAAAACTTCTGACTTAACTCTAATTAAGTTACTAAATAAACACAAATATTACAAATTATAAAATTATAAATAAAATCTCCACCAACAAATGGTGTGTGCCCATTCCACATCACTTACCTCTCTCCTCTATATGCATGTAGGTGATGAAGAACAAGCTTAAAAAGACCTTATTTTTGTTTTTGTACATACGTAATATAGCATGGAAGCTATGTTTGAAGGAGTTTTGAAGGTGATGTAAATATTTAGCTTTTGTAAATAAAAAAGGTCCTCTTGTAATGATTTGTGTCCTTTGTAAAGTTCAATACACTTTGTAATGTATGTACTTTGGAGATGTTTTTGAGGAGTTAAATGAAGAAGTTGAATGTTTCATCTCATATACTTGTACACATGCTCTAAATGGATTGTAAAAGATTAATTGAAATGCCTCTACTTATTTTTTCCCAATTATTATTCAAGTTTATTCATGGTTCGGTTTGGTTAGGCCTTTGGTAGTTGAAGGACTATTGACCTGTCACCACACTATTCCAGTCGGATGGGATAGGATCGTGACATTTAGAATATAGAACTCTTTCCTCCAATCAAATGGCCAACCATACATGCCTTTGCGTGCTCAAAATGACCATCCATACATGCCTTTGTGTGCATGACACGTACATATATACACCATTAAGATATAAAACATTTACACATAATCTTATCAAAACTTTATCCAAGTTGTACGATATGTGGGCATTGTTAGTTGCCTCAAAATATATACATATTTAAATTATTTCTATGAAGTTTTCTAAATCTCCTGAGTTTGCATTTTAAAGCCAAAGTTTTGGTTTTGTTCCACTTTTTAAAGCACAATCAGCAACTACAACACAAGTCTAAAATCCTTTTCATGTATGTATTCCTTTAATAATAAAGAAAATTTTAACAAAAATTGACACTAGAGATGACACAAACCCTGTGTGCACTGTAGACCATATAAAAGTATGTTCCCAAACTAATTACAAAGGTAGAAGCCCCAAAGAACTTACATTGCTGAAAGAAGTCCTCAAAGGTGATACTTCGACATGCCAAGTGTTGTAAAAGTTTTCTTATAACCATGCTAGATATTCGAAAAGAGTCCTGATTGTCTATGATAGTTGAGTACCTCGACGGATGAAGGATTGTGTTGATCAAAACTCTCCATAGCGAGTCAGATACTCAAGAAACCTATGTACTTCGTTTTACTACTTTGGGTAATACCTCGAGTGCTTGAGAAATTCTTATAGGGGCCAAAGGGGCCTGGCTATGGTTTTAAGATTCTCTATTTGGCTCCACCATGAGCATCACTCCGAAAGTCATTCTAGTCCATCAATCTATTAAGATCATCTCTCGAATCTTAGATAGTTTGTAATCATGAGCACCACTCCAGAAGATGTTTTGATCTTTGTAATTTATTATGAAAACTACTCCAAAATCCTATGCTCACTTGAGAGCACTGCTCCAGAGCCAATGTATTCTTATCACTGTCAAAGCACTACCTCAAAAGAGACAGATGTTCTCCCCTCAAGCAGAGAAATAGCACCTCGTTCTCACCCTATATGCACCCAAACTGTGCATCTGCATTGATCGGATGGCATACGAAGGGTGTCATTCTCTTCGACATCTAGTGCTTGACCCATATAGTCTGATCTCTGAATCACATTACGGACTATTTGGGATGTTGGAGACACTTGTCTTGTTAGCTAAGGGTAAGGTTCATCAAGGTGTCAGCAAATGTCTTTCCCTCAATGGGGGGGCATCGCTTCAGCTTAACCTGGCTGGTAAGAATGGGACAGCATCCCGACAAAGTCAAGGCAATAAAATCCTTATCATATAACCCTAAAGAGAGTCCTAACCTAACCGTGACACGAGATTTATATCAACACAAGTTGTACTACATTTTCATGTTATCTCAGACCCTTTTCTAATAAAAGGAGGGCTCCTCTCCCCGATTGGATCATCAATGCATCACATCACATATTGTGCCTACACTTCCATGCTCTCTGATTCATGCTAACCTTACTTTTCAGCCACAGTAATCTCTAACACTTTCAACTCTTTATTTGCAATATCCATCTCTCAAGTTCGATTCCTGACTCTCTACATACATAATATAATAAACAAACAATAATCCAAGAACATCTGCAGAATCCAAAAACCCTATTCAAATAAGGATAGCCCTTGCTAAATGCAGCTATGCAAGAACTGAAAAACTTGTTCTTCACTTTTTGAATTGAATCTTCCATATCAAACTTCTTTCACATGTTTTTTTCCATTTTTTTTTTTTGGTGGCTGATTTTATGCTTCCTTCCCAATCATACAAAATAAAAAACATCACATTTCTAAAGTATGGGATAGCTGAATTACTTTTCTTATTTCTTTCATTTTAATTATTTATTTATTATTTATGGGGGTTAGCTGTTTTCAATATGACAATCAACTTACCATATAACAAAGCCCTAGCCAGAGTAGGAAATGCAGCACCTTGATAGAATACCCTCCAACATTCACTCCTCTCCAGTTCAGAAGGGACTTTGGCACTAATCACCTAAAGACATCAAAATCAGATATTACTTATATAGAACAAAAAATGGAGTAATCAGATATTACAGTTTTGAATCATAGCAATGAGAGAAACGCACCTGATCTCTATACTGTTGATCAATGCTACCTATAAGTTCAAAAACAAACAGACCAATAAATCTCATCCCAATTTGACAACTAAAATCAAAGAAACTGAAATAAATTCAGACAAAAAGAGCTACACGGGCTACATAAACACTCAAGGAAGGATCTTTTTCTTGTCCTCAGTTTTCTCGGCAAGCAAACAAAAATCAACGGAGTTGTGTTGGGAGGTCACCTGAGAGGGCATGTTGTGAGTCGAGAGGAGGGAAGAGAAGGATGACGAGGGAGTGGAGGGCACAAATGACTTCGTCAACGTGTTTGGCTTCCTTGATGAAGGCGATGACGTTCCCAACCTTCTCAAGGATCGTTGCCTCCAATTCTCTGCTACTCTTCTTCTTCTTCTCCTCCTCCTTCTTTGATTCCACCTCCATTGCTACTCTTATGCACCCACCCACCGTCTTCACCGTCACTGCTCTCGGCTATTCGTCTCTATAGCCCATTTTGGTGAGTGGGCTATTTTTGTACGTCCCAACTTTTAATGCCCTCTTTTATTAAAAGAAAAACAAAATTAAAAAGTCAAAAAAAATTAATTTTTAACCATCATCTTAAAACATTCTTACATTTAGCTAAATAAATAATTTCCAATGAAATAAAGGCAGGCTAATACGTTACAGTCATGTTTGATTCAAAAAATTAAAAGTGAAATATTAATAATTTTATTAAATTAGTATGGTATTCACTATCGAATTGAATTAATATCCATTTGATTAATAATCTCACCCCTACTCCATTACTAATAATCCTACAAATTTGTTGAATTAATTATCCATTAGATTAAATAATCATAAACCAAAATGTTAAAACAAACATAGGATAATTGAGCCCACAGATTAATAATCTCAATCTCATATTCTAATCCACCCAATCAAACATGCCCTGTGAGTAATGATATAGATTTTAAAAATTTTATCAAAAGTTCTATCAAATGTCTTATATGGGTGTGAGATCCACACAATATGGATCTCATGTGGGTCTTACACACATGTGAGACATTTGATAAAACTTTTGGTAGAATTTTTGAAATCTCAAGCATTTTTGATAGGTTATTAATGATTTTTTTGTTAAATATTATTAAAAAATATGATTAATTATTAATTTTCATCCATAGTTTAAAATTTTTGTCATAAAAATATCACTAATTATAAATTTTAGTGACATTTTAAAAAAATGTCAAAAATAACATGTCAATAATTTTCAACTTTCAACGATAATGTGAAAAATTTGTAATAGAAAAACATAATAATTTATAAAAATCGTGATAAAAAATTTTTCAAATTGTCAATTTTTAACAACATATACAAAAAATAATCACAAAAAATTATTTTTAACGATAATTTTATTAAAACTTATTTTAAATAAGATTTAATGAGAATTAAGTCCAACTGGACTTATTAGTAGTTTATTCTAAAGTACATTGGGTTAATTTCATTTCATTTGGGTAAATTACGCTAGTAGCCTCTCTTGAAGTTCAATGCAATTACGTTTAACTCCACAATTTTAGCATACTGTACCTGCACCCCCACCACGTCACTATTTCATTTCTTTTTTTTCTTTTTTTTTGAGAATAGAACCCAGCAACATAAATATATTAAGCTAAACAGAGTTTCTTACAGCAGTGGTAAGAAGGTGAGCATCTTGAACCACATCTCGCTCCACCTTCTCTAATACAACATGATGAAAAAGTTTACAATAAGACAATATATCAGTCAAAACGGATTGGAGACTCCAATCATGGTTTTGAGCATTGTTTTGGAATAACAGGATCAGGACTAAGCAGTCCATTTGTAGAAGCAGATTGGTGATGCCATACTGATATGCCCAACGCAGAGCTTTGAGAACAGCAGCCGCTTCAGTTTGTTGAAGAGAGAGCATTGAAGGTCCTAAAATAGCTTCCTCGTAAACTTGCTGATTATCAGGATCAAAACAGACCCAGGCCAAACCAGTATGGTCACCGACAGAGAGCCAAGAGCCATTCACAATAATGCGCATCCGCGGAACAGCTGCAATGGGAGGTGTAGCATGCTGCAAAATAACCTGATTATCGAATCTGATTCAATGTGAGAGTCCGTTGATGGTGAAAAAAGTTGCTGAAAATGCTCCACAAAGGCCCTCTGGATATCCTGCGATTGGGTGAGAACATGACCATCTTTATCCTGAATGAGAGCCATGTGGTTCCTACTCCGCCTCCAGGATGCCATTCGGTGAAAAAATTTGGTATTGCGATCCCCCAAAGACAGCCAATGTTGTTTAGATCGCTGAGCCCAATATAGCTCTTGCTTTTATAACAAAATGTCAAGTTGAAATCGCAACTCATGCTCGTTAAAAGGTAATCCCAGAGCTTGTAGCGACCCCTGGGCCTGGAGTAAACGAACTTGAAGGTCTTCAATTTGACCATGGAGGCTCCTGAATGACAAAGCATTCCAGTTCTTCAAATGTCTAAAGATGATGGCTTGTCGCTGTACACATGAAGCAACATCGGGAATGGGCCTCTGCCAAATTTTTTGGATAATATCTTGAGTGGACGGATCTGCTAACCAAACCGCCTCAAATCTGCCCCATTTCTGGCCGAGAAATTCCATTCGGCTAGTGTCAAGGAGTAGCGGACTATGATCGGATCGTTGAATAGGCAATGTGACTAAAGAAAAATGTGAGAAAGTAGCTGTCCAACTAGAAGAAGCCAACACCCTATCCAGATGCTCATAAACCACTTCAGACTCCTTACGATTGTTACACCAAGTATACCATACTCCTTGAGATGGAAGATCCACCAACCTGTTGCGAAATATTAAATCATTAAATGCCGATGCTCTAGGAATGAGTCTTCTATGTGAGCTGTGTTTTTCTGCCCAACCCTGAACCTAGTTAAGGTCCCCAATAATAATAAAAGGCCTTTGAAATTGTTGAAATTTGGCTTCTATACTACTCCACACTTGGCCCCGAGCCAGAGTAAAAGGAGAGCCGTACATAAAGATAATGAACCAACTTCCGTGCACAGTGTCGTGAACCTGCAAAATAATGTAGTTCGCATTCCGTTCACATATCTCAATCAGAGTATTAGTATTCCAACCAACCCATAAACCACCAGATCTACCATTACAATCCACTCCACAATCATACTTGAATCCCAAAGAATACCCAAGACGATTGACCTGCGGAACCGTGCGTTTGGTCTCCATTAAGAAACAAATGTCGGGCTTGTACCTACGGGTCAAATTCCGAGCTGCTTGAACTGTCAGGGGATGACCCAGACCCCTGCAGTTCCAGCTGAGAAGTTTCATGGCTAGCGAGGAGGTTGTTGTGGGATAACCTCCTGCGAAACCCTTCGAGTCAACCTGAGACTAGGATCCAAAACCATTGCCATAAACCGACTTGTTTGATGATGAACCTGATCTAAATCCAATGGAGAGCATACCTACGGGACTTCGTAACAAAGACCACGGGCCTCCGGTGAACTGACACCCGTATCCCGATTCTGAAGTGATGGTGTCTTGTGTAGGACGACCTGTGGTGACAGAACATCCCCGCTAATTACCACTAGAAGGACGTGAAGACTGACCCTGCCGACGCCGAGAGGTGGAGCCCAATGAAGAGCCCGGAGCAGCAAGGAGATGGTGCGACCGAAAACGTAGTTTTCGACAACGACGCAGGGACGAAAACCTGGCCGACTCCTCTCTTATTGGCCACGGGACTGCATTGGCATGCATTACTGACGGTATAGAATACCGTGTTTTCTTCCGGCGACTGAGATGCTTACGTAAAAGAGAACCCAAACTTTGAGGGGGGCACACGGCAGTCAGAGACTATGCCCGAGCTATGCATGAGCATCTCGTTCGAACAATCTTGTAATGGGCCCCTGACCTTGTCTGTAATGAGCATGGGCTCTGTATCATATAATAAGTCAAAACCTGAGTCCATTTCCCGCAGTCGTTTCCTGATGGAAGGCCTGCTTAAAGTAGAGATAGAAGGAATAGAAGAAGAAATGTCAGCTACTATAGCAGAATTATGGGGTCCAGAGTCGATCGTAGAACTGGATTGGCCTACTTTATAAGTGACAGAACCCATATTAGCCCAACTGCTTGGGCTTTCTCGGATGAAGGCCCGAGTGATAATTGGGGCCTCGCCCATAGGTAAATTCAGCCGTGGGCTAGGCCCATTAAGGTGTATAGCTCGAAGAACATCTTCAGTTGAAGCAAGTAAGGGGCCTTGATTCGGATCATTAATGGAACCAGAGTAATGTTACTGTTCTTGACGCGGCGAAGCTGTCAACTCGCTGACTTGTTCAGTCACCAACTGCCCTGGTCTGATTCCCATTGATAAGAGTTGACCCTCCCATTGATGCCACATTACTTCCAACTCACCTACCGAGTCCACCAGAGCTTGGCCCAAACCCGAAAGTACATCGGAAACAACTAAGCGAGTCTCTGGTGAGTAGGCAGGCGGAATAACTCCATCCCTCCAAACAACTGGCATCGGTGGCTCACTCCCCTCAGGCGTCCCTTGTTGTAAACTGGTGTCCCAATCCCGTTCCCACATATCAGCAAAATCCGCATTCAGATTAGTATCATGTCCATGGGTATGTGAAACCACTTATTCTGGTATCTCCATATGAGAATGTGTGGAGTTTTGAAAAATTCGAGTAGTGCGACGATCCGACCTGTGGGCATTAGCTCGAATAGAAGCAGAGTACATTGGATGCGAGTCTTGAGTCATCACTTGAGAATGGAGTCGTCGACCTGCGTCCTGAAGATTAACATCAAGTTGTCGTTGAGCCTCTTCAAAGGATAAAGCACAAGCAGTGATCGTGTGGCCGATTCGACCACAATTCCGACAAACCTTACAAACCCGCTCGTATTGACAACTAATCCAATGTTGTTGACCGTTATGAAACTTGAGAAAAAAGCCACTGATCAATGGCTTATCCAGGGATACCTACACTCGTAGACGCAGAAAACAGATGTTGCGAGGCATTAGAGAGTCAATATCAATTTTAACCACCTCGCCAACAGCACGTCCTAATCTAACCCCAGCTTCTTCAGTAAAGCATTCCAACGGTAGTCCATACAACTGAACCCAAACCATCATTTTATCAAATATCAAACGATCTAGGACCAAATCCGGCTTCCAATAATCAACAATAAGAAGCGCCCCTTGGATAGCATAAGGACCATTGTCAACGATACGGTGCATGTCCCCTACCCATTCAAACAGAAAAACATAGTGATTCTTACTGCGACCGTAGACATACACGAAGCCTTCCAAATGCCATAAATCGTTGACATGCATTTGCATAAGATAGGAACCAAACCGACGAACATCTGCGACATAGACAATCAAGCATCTGTCCAGCTCATGTTGTTCAAACTGCCACATTGAGTCGTCCAATTCCATACTCAAACCGCTCTGAGAGTGATGAAGTGAGGGAGGATGAAACACCTAATTGGGCCGAAGGTTTCGCCTT